CATTGGCAAACCATAGTGAGGGCACCTTTGTAAGAGATCCTTATGTTAGTGTATGCCTTGGGAACCAATCGTGTCGTCGGTTCCAAAATATTATGTTTTGTATATCAGTATATATATGTTAATGTATATATTTTATATATACATTTTATCTTATCAATAGAAGAAAGTGTTCTTATTTCACATGTGGTTTATTGCTTCATTTATATATGTGTATTACATGTAAAATGGCTGGATGATACAAACTTTAGAAGATCAAAATCATTAAAGTATTCATTACATAGGTAATATTAATTGGGCAATAATATTACATAGTAGGCATGCTGAATGCCTTCGTAGAATATCATGTGATTGTATTAGTGTAGGTGATTATAAATGTTATATCACTAGGCCATTAGCATGGATAAGCAGTTAGTGAACTGTTTATCGAATATGACTATTTATGATGAATCACATGGATATTTAAAATGTAGTCAATGATTTATCATAAGATCGTACTAGTGTATTATTAATCCTTAGACCTGAGATATCACGGTTGGATTCTGCATAAACGCATATAGTTCATATGATGTATAAACATGAGACTAATCATGTCACGTGTTAATAAGCTGATTTGGCCATGTGTTTTTTATGTGTGATGACAAGTGATAGTCAAGATATGATCCGTTGACTTGGTATAGATTGATGTCAAGTTTTTAGACAAATGTCAAGACACATTGGAAAAGGGAAATCTCCGACCAGAGTATATAAAATGTTACTTAAAAGGTTGTTTCATGGTGACACGTTCTATATGTATTGATTGCCAATTTGATATAAAATTAAGATAAGGATTTTGACATACCAAGAATCTATTTTTAATTTGGATTAGACAACGGAAGGATTTGATTATACAGTGCGTATGATTATAAAAGGGTTTGTTAGAATATATCTTCATTGTTACTTAGGGGTTATGGAGCATTGCTAGATGTCTGCCATAATCGGTGAGAGTTTTGTTCATAAAGATTTATGACAAAATATATCGAAATAGACTATGATATTGGGTCCACGACTAGGCCACAATGAACCTAAGAGGTCACACATAAAAACTTAGGAGAATAGAGAAATAGCCAAAGAGAGTTGATTATCCAAGGTTGGCTAGCACCTACCAAGGGTAATAAAGTTATTTATATTATTATTATTGAATTAGATTCAATAGATGGTTATATTAGTTATTATGAATAATTTAAGAGTTAAATTTCTAATTGGAATTAAATGGAATTCTATTTCATAATTAATCATTTTCTTTATATTAAATTGGATTTAATAATGGGTTGTAATTGTAAACATGTGAGTAATTTAAGGGTTAAATTGTTATTTAAATAATTTAAGAGTTAAATTGTTAATTATGATTAAATGTTAATCTAATGTTATTATTTAAAGAAGTTTAACAACTTCATAATAATTATGGAATTATTTACAACTCCAAAAACAATTATGGAATTGTTTAAGGAAGTCCAAAACAATTATTGAATTGTTTACATGGCTACATTTATAAAGAAAATGATATATCAATTTTAGGGTAGAGATCAAAATTTCTAGGAACCCTAAATGTCTCTCTTGGCCTAATTCTTCTTTTACCTTAGTGTGGATACTCTTTTGTTTAATTTCTCTTGAAAGTAGAAGTTTCCAAGGTTGCTAAGGACTTGAGGTAACAAGTTATACCTTACTTGTTTTCAATTTGATTGAATTTTTTTTTTTTTTGCAAAATATGAATATATATGTTTTAGTATCACATGCATCATTCTCCATGTATTCCATCTTTCACCTTATACCTTTCCCACGCTTCATACAATGACTCCAAGTCTTCTTGGTAGAAATTTGTAATCTCACTTTTCAACTTGACAAACTTGGCAGGTGGAAAATATTTAGTAATTAAGGAACGCTTGAGCTAACTCGTTCCATGTCTTGATGCTCCCAGATGGCAGAGAAATCAACCAAGCCTTAGTTTTATCCCGAAGAGAGAATGGGAAAAGCCTTAGCCTAATTGCTTCATCAGATACTCCATTATGCCTGAATGTGTCGCATAACTCTAGAAAATTGGCGATATGCAAGTTGGGATCATCACTGCTGAATCATTTGAATAATTGCTGGCTTGATCTCAAAATTATTCACTTGAATTGGTGGTCTCCTGATGCTAGAATAGCACCCATCAACCTTTGAACCACTATTGCTCCACCAATTGCATTGCCTCCTACGATATCCTTATTCTCATTCTCCTGATTTTTCACATTGGGATTTATAAATCCCCTGTTAGCCATTGATTTTTCTAAGCTAGCTTGCCTCTTTTCTTTCCTCAACTGTTTAGCCGTTCTCTCGATTTCAGAATCAAAAGGATTAAGATCACCACTACCTTTTGAACATAAGCTCTCCAAGATCTAAATAAAAGAAACAAACACAACAAAATAAAATAAAAATTAATTTCTAAGCAAAAATAAATCAAATCAAATTAGCAACTAAATATTTCGTATTGATATTAGTAAAAAAGAAAAATAGTTCCTCAACAATGGTGCCAAAAACTTGATAGGCTATTCGCAAGTGTACGAAATGACGCAAGTAGTAAAGCTCGAGTAAATGAGTGTCGAATCTTAAGAGAACTACCTACACAATACCAAACTAGTCTATTTTATTGCTATTTGATGAATCAAAATTTTAAGAATGAATTTAATGAAAAACAAAACAAACTAAAAACTAAACAAAAGAAGAATTTTATTAATACTTTAGTAAAAAGATCAATATAACTAAACTTAGGGCATAGATTTCACACTAATTAAATCATATGCATTGACAATTATTGCTAACCTAATTAAACTTATTCTAAAGGCCAAACTCCCCAATATTCTACTAACTTTCTCTTGAACAAGTAGCGAATTAACCCTTAAGCAACAACCCAAAATATCTCTAAGTTGGATTTAGGAGCTAAGATATCATGAAGTTCTATGGAATTTACTAGAGCCTCACAGATCGCGGTAACCTATCTCTATCGTTCGCTCAATCTATGGTTTTATTATCTTAGACAAATCATATTTCATCTCTTGAACCCAACCCAACCCATGGTATCATTCAACTTTCGGATCCAAAAGAATTGAAAGTATTACAAACAATAATAAAACTTAAAATTAATGCTCAATTAAAAATCAACAACAATAACGTTAACACATATTCATACATTGGGTTACATCTTTAGCCCTAGAAAAGGAATTTAGTTCATAATTGCAGTAATAAAAACAACCATTGTATTAACAAACATGAGTTCAAGAAAGAAAAATAGAAAAACTTCTTTAATTGGCGAACAAGAACTGCAGAAATTCCGATCTTCAAAATAGTAGTCGCTCTTTCTCCTTCTCTACTCTCTATAAAAACTAATTAAAGACCCTTATTTATAGTGCTAGGGTTTGAAGGTTAATTAGGAAAGAATTAAATGCCTTAAACCATTCAGATTCGGACTAGGAGAATACAATAACCCAAATAGGCCCGTGATCCATCACTGCGACGATTGTTCTTTCTATCCTAAGAGTCTGGAATCTTTAAAATTTGGAAAAGTCATCAAACTAACTTTGTAGCTCTCTGAATAAGCTTTCCAACGCCATAAGAATCATCAAATTCTGAATTCTACAGATCAAGTTATGATCGAAACATCAAAGCATGCTCATCTCGACAAATTTCCAGGTTTTACGTCTCATCTTCAACTCGCCACAACTTTCTCTTTTCAACTCCATTTCTTCCACCGTTTGTTCCTACTCATCACAAATTCCATCAACATCATTTTTCTTCATTCAAATATTGTTTTTAACCTAAAAATACTCAACATATACCTCGTGATTCCGTAAAAAGTATTTATAAAGTAATCGCTCAAATTTTACAAATTAAACATATTTTTCCACAAATAATCTAATTAAATTACTAACAAAATATGTATTTTTAAGTTCTTATCAGTGGCTAATTGATGTGCTGCCGTTTTGGGTTTGCTACGTGAATGAATTCTAAGGCTTGAATCATAACATATTTGTTTAAGTTCTATTTGCTTGTCCTAATCAAATTTATTATTTATATTAATCTGAGTCAACGAAGTAGTTACTATTATTACCATTATTTTCAAAGCTCAATCCAATTATAGTAGAATTCGAATAAAGGAAATCATTTTTTCCTAGATTTGGTCTCATTTGTAACTACAAAATGCCCAATAAGTTTAAAAAATCATTATAATATGTACTAAAGACACACATTAAGATAATTGAAAAAAAAAAAATATTTTTTATATTTTTGATTGTTTTATGTGCAAATTGCCGTCTATAAATAAAATAAACGTTATGACTTATGACAACTCTAAATTTTATATGAAAAACATAAAATATTCTTTAATTTTTTAATTAATACTAATTAATTTTTAAAATAAACAACATTTTTCCTTTAAATTCTTCAAAACAACCTTTCTTAAAGTTAAATAAACATTAGATGGTATATATAACGAATAGACAATTAGACGGCGAAGAAAAATTATTAAAAAAATCATTTAATATTTATTTAATGACTTTCTTACAATATAAATTTAAACAAAAATCCGAAACGAATGGATCAGAGTTAATTCTTGCATACAAAAGTTGAATTGAAAATTTACTAAAATATATATGAATATACGGTTCATGCTTGTATGGATCCAAATATGTAGCCAGTAAGATGATAGATTCCTCTTGACTTGGTTCACTTTGGAGCACGTTTTTGTTTTAAAACTGATTTCAGTTCCTGTGTTGTTACAGCAAAACTCATACTATAATTTTTTAATCCATAAAAGCTTCCCTCTCTTTATCTCGTTTGAGTCAAAACCAACCTCCATAGAAACGGACACTCCATCCGTGACATTCTTCTGTGACTTTGTCCCTCTGTAAATATCTCTATTTTTATTGTTTATTTTGGATAATACCCTTATTTTTAATTTTTAATTTTAATTTATTCTTAGCTTTCACGAGATGCTTGAACTTATTGCTTCATTCTTTGTATTCTTGCTTTGCTGGTAACTTGTTCTCTGCGTATATATATAGAGCTTTAGACTTTGAGAGTTCACATGTGTTTAAGCTTTGAACTTTTCAAACCTTCTATTGTTGTCTTTTATTGAGGTTGAAGTGTGTGCTTTTGGGGTCTTGTTGGAATTTGTTTTCATCAAGTTTAGATTTTGGCTTCTGGGTATTGTTCA